AGAGAGCTTTCCCTATGTTATATGCGCACATTCGCGCAGCTAGGTGGAGGCAAGTGGAATTTTGATGATCGCGAATAGCTGGAGAGGCACCGAGCTCGAGAAGTTTTTGCACAATGGCTAGTTTACCCATGGAGACAGCTGTGTGTAGGGCGGTGTCATCATCTTAGAAGAGAAATAATGACCAAAAATGTGACAATTTAAGAAATTCGCATCACTCACAAGCATCCCACAAATTCAAATCTGCTCCAGCTGCTCGAAGCCTCGTCAAGTCTTCTAATATCTGTTTCTCCGTCTTCACCGTATTTCTTACTAGGACCATCACAGGCGTGCGACCGAATGGGCCTCGCCGATTTACATCTTCAGTACAGATAGGAACAGATATAGGTTTGTCTGAGAGAGCTTCAACATGTAGACTTGATGGTGCAGGCTCAGCTCTCTTCTCTTTCGGCTGCACAAATACTCTGTAAAGTAGGGACAAAAGATATAAGCTTCGAAAAATGAGCATAGTATTTTGAAAATAGACTTTCAGCTTCCTGAATGATCGTATTAACTAACTTTGACTTATGGCTTACAACTGCGCAAATGAAAGCTAAAGTGTATTTTAAAGAACTTTCAGATCATACCGGTTCTTAAGAGTTTTCGGCGTCAGGTGTTGCTCCAGTAGCTTCATTTCAGCGGGATCCATTCGCCTTCGTTTTGAACTCTCAAGCACTACCCTATTTTTCCAGGTGTTTTCGTTACACTTCATCGCCTTTTCAACTAAACAAATTCTTTATTGAGTCGTATGATCACGAAATGAGAGGTGATACCTTCAAGCTCCGTAGGAGGCATCCAAACCGGTGCATTTTCAATTATTTTTCTCTTCCTGCTCGGTCTTTCATGGATGATGAAAACGATTGCGATGGCAATCATGACAGCGATACATGCTAGTAGTACTAAAAGAGTGGTATCCAGAGACTTCTTGGATTTTCTGAGATTCTTGGCATCAACCGAGTGGATGGACATGTTCATTCCAGTGAGTTTCTGAAAAAGAGATGTTCAAGAAATATCTTAAGATTTTGGTAAACTTTCAAAATAGTAAAAGAAAGCAAAAAAGTAATTGTTTGTAATTTTTTATTGACAGCGAACTGCTCACCTCTTTTGCAGCATCAATGAAGTTCGCAACAACTTCGACATCGCTGAAACATTCTTCAACACATCCCGCTACATCGACTTCAATCCATACTATTATACCACGTTTTTCTACATTTGATTTTTCAGACGAAAGATACTGTAAATACAATATTGAGCAGACATATGCACGTAGTATGGCAATTCTAAAAATATACCAATTGCTCTATTCTAAGTCGATCTCCTTTACGCTCATTTTGCCACAGAAAAATCATCGGTCCTTCTTGATCTCTCTTGATTCGTATCTCTGCTCTCAAAATTTTGCTGAGGGAGCGCAAGAAACGCGGAATATTGACGACGAAGTAGGAAGGCTCGGTTAGCACAACAACTGAGATATCGCCAGATAGCTGAAAGAAATCATAACAAGGAGGAAAAAGATGACTAAAAGCGAAAACTGACAATTTTGTGAGATATCTCACGGCAATCGCCACCATCGAAATCACAACCCTCTTGATTGCACTGTTCGTCACATATTCCATCACCTTTGTGAGCTTTACAGTAAGCTGCTATGGCGGCAGGACACACTGGCTTTTTTGTTATGCAATCGAAACCGTCAAACAAGCAATCTTCGTTGTTGCAGACCTGAAAATAAAGGCTTGAGACATACTACCATAGACAGGTCGTAGAAACTTACCTCATTGCAAACTCCATTTCGGAACATTCGAGCACAAAACGTAGAGTTAACGCATTTCTTGAAAGGGCTGGTAATTGAGCAATCGCCACCGTCATAATTACATTCTTCCGTGTTGCAGTCTTCGTTGCACTCGCCATTCCCAGCCTTTTGTAGACAGCCACGACATTTAGAAGGTTTATCCCTGAAGAAAATACAATAAAATTATGATCCTGACGTGACTACAGACTCAATTACCTAGGGATTTCATTGCTTTTCCATACAAAGCCTTCCTTGACGATTTCGCATCTTTGTCCAGTATAGCCAAATGGGCAGTGGCATACATATCCGTTCGTTCCGTCTATGCATGTTCCACCGTTCTGGCAGGTACTAAACGGAAAAATTTAGGCTTTATGTAGAGAAGAAATAAAAAACTGAGACAGAAAAACTTACTTTGTGGTACAAATTTCTACAGCTTCATCGCAAGTCTCTCCTCTGTATCCATGAGGGCACATACAAAAGAAGGAACCAGGTCGGTTCACACATGTACCGCCATTTTTACACGGGCCATCTACACATTCGTCTACGTCCTCTTCGCAGAAAAATCCTGCAAAATACTGCTGCAGTGATGTTCAGATGTATGTCAAGAAGCGCGATTTTTATTGCCAGCCGAGCTAATAGCTCATATTCAACGTTTTATGATGTTCGAGTAATTTGGAATTTAGAGGAGATATATTAGATGGTAGCACGAGTGGCCCAGTCTTACTGTCATAAATTCGAATCAAAATGAAATTGTTGAAGGTCAGGAACTCATCAAAATGCAATTAATGACGAATTTTGATTATTTCGATCAGACTTTCAGCAAAAGCCGTCAAATTCTGCACATGGTAGCTCCAAGCAGTTAGTAAGAAATGTATTTTGTCTGGTGCTTTTTTGACTTGCATAGCACTAAACTTGAGTTTTGCGTTGGTGACAGCCAGAGA